AATACTCGAAAAATAATTAATAATTGAGAATTAATTATTATTTAAATAATGTGATTATTTAAATTTGAATTTGAACATATCTAGATTTATCCATTTAAACTTATTTGATAAGTTGTTCAATTTAGAATTCAAATTAATTTAAGTTTGCCTTAAATTCGAATTTGAATCTGAATTAAAATTGGACTACTGGATAAAGGATAAAATCTCTTCATTCCCTATCTGAGATAGGTGCCACACACAGGGATAAAACCCTAGAGTGTGGCCGGCCACCAAGTGGATAAGGGGAAGGGATTTTTTGTTCCAAATTCAAAATTGAAGATAAGGATTTGATTCTATTTTGAAGTTTGACTTCTTCTCTTTAAAAATGAGAAAGATAGAAAATTGTAGAGACAATTTTTAACATATTTTCAGCCCTAGTTTTTCAGAGGTGGCCGAATTTCTCATAGAGGAAAAAGATAGCAAAATATTTTTCTCCAAAAATTTCACATCGTGCATGCGTTGGTATTTGTAGAAATTCGAGTGTTTAAGAAACTTGTTTTTGTCTCACGTGTGCCCACACACACGTCTACGTGGAATCAAGGAATTGACGTGGAAGACTTTGGTATTCTAAACACAAAGCTTGGAGCAAGGACTGTTCGTGGTCAAAGAAATTCAAGTTATCATCCGAGTTGGCTTCCAGGTATTTTTCGGTTGATCCTTGAATGATGTAAATTAATGTGATTAATTTATTCGTGCATAAATTAATATAATCTATAGAGTATGTCAAAAGTTTTATGAAAATTTTTGTTATACACGATCCGCTGTTTCCTACCACGCTTCCGCACCCGAATTCGATTCGGGAACCAGCAGGGTAGTATGTTCCACTAAGTTTTAGAGTAACTGCATGAAAACTACCTAAAAATTGATACAAAACTTCGGCAATTTACCAATCAAATTCGTCTATATGTCCTACGCCTAATTTTGCACACATATAGTTTGTTATGACATCCTTATAGGGGATGCATTATTAAAGCATAATGTAAGTTGAGTTCCATCTTATAGGCATATCTAACACTAATGCTCTAGGAGGTATATTTAATGCTTGTAAGAACTTAACCAATCTTCTTGTCTTTGGTTACTACCTTGAATCCATGCAAGACTATCTCTAATTTTTTTAATGTGATTACCCATTTCTTTTAAACCGAATTTAACTATTAAATTGATTACGTGACATGCACAACATTGGTGAAAAATTGTACCGTCACCGAATAAACTTAAATCATTTTCAAAGAACTCAATTGCTTTTGTATTGGCACTAACATTATCTAATATTATAGCTATTACTTTATCTCTTAGTCTAAATTCATCAATTACATTTAAAATTGTATTATATATTAAATATGCGCTATGTGATCCTAGAACACATTTAAAACCTAATATTCTTTTATCTAAATCAAATCCTTTAAAGTAATGTCCGGTTACAGCTAAATAATCTTTATTGACAACGGCGGACCAAATATCTGCCCTTAACGCAACGCACCCGCTAGTCGAGTGTAAAAAGTTTATTAATGATTCTTTTTCTTTTTTAAATAATTTTAATAAATCTTTCCTAAGAGTAGTTTTTGAAGTGAATTGTGCATTGGGATTATGTACAACCTTAATATATCGTTGCCAATTAGGATGCTTTACAAAACTAAATGGTTGATCTAAAGCAACTATCATTCGTGCAACTTCCATACGATCTACTTGCGGATCGTATTTCCAAGTGGTTAGACCACCGGTTGCGCAATCAAAAGATAATTGTGTTTGGCGGAGTTCGGATCCGCTGGATTGGCTAAGCTTTTGAAGACACTTTTCAGAGTGTCTTCTCAAGTGTGTGGTGCCATGAATAGTGTCACCTTGTAATTTAGATAAATAATATTTACACTAAGTTATATGTTTAGTGTTACCTTCATTGTTGATCTCATCAATTATGTCAAAGTGATCCCAAACTGTCGAGGTGCGCTTGCATTTCGTCCTAGAGGTTGCAACACTTACAGACGCAGTTGCACTAGCACTCGCCGCTTCTCCACGCCCACTTTCCATGTTGTGTTGGGCATCAACGAGAATACCATTATAACCAAAAGGATCCATTATAAAAAAATAATAGCGATTTGAGAGAGAAAGTTTTAGGAAAATGTGATAGTTTTTAGAAAAATTTTGATAAAGATTTGAGAGATCGAGAGAGATTGAGAGAAATTGAGAGAGATTGAGAGAAATTGAGAGAGATTGAGAGAAATTGAGTGAGAAAAATGTGTTGAGGATGAAGGGTATTTATAGGGAAATTTTTAGGTTAAAAAATTGATTTTTTTTTTCAAATTTTCGGAGGTGCAACGGCTAGTAGGGTTTCGGAGGGTCGGGTTCGGGCGGCAATGGGCAAAAAAGTAGCCGTTGGATGGGTTTTCGGGCATTCGGGCAGTTCGGGCTTCTCGGGCTTTCGGGCAAAATCTGGTTTTTCGGGCTAATTTTTGGGTCGGGCACAACGGTCATTTTTTAAAACTTTTTTTCGGGCATTTCGGGCTTCAAGCTTGGCTGGAAAAATTCAAAAAAAACTCCGGCGGACGGCGGTTGGAGGTGACTACACGGCGGCAAGCTCCGGCGTGGTGACAAAATTCGGGCTACCCGAGCCCGAGCCCGAATTTAAACTTTGAACGGGTCGGTATGTAGGCCAGCCCGCCCGAGCCTGAAAAATTTGGGCTTCGGGCCGGCGGGAAGTTCCAGCACTACTTCAACTCCTCTCTCTCTCTCTTTCCTATCCTCTCATCTACAAACCCTAGCCATGATCTCAGCCGCCGGCCGCCGCATCCCTAAAAGCAGTCGACGGAGAGGAGTGGTGACACCAATGTCGCACTGAGGGATCGCGTTCCGGTTTGAAGCGTACGGATCTCCGACGGCCGAAGGTTTGCGATTCTGATTCACCATTCCGGTCGGCTTCATGAGGCTACGTTTCAGGCAACATCCATCGCGATGCTGCTTGTGACAACGAGGATGGAGCTCCGTCGCACTCTTTCTCTCGCCTCCGTCAAGAATCGGCGCTGGAGAAAATAAGCTGCGTTGTAAATCGGCGTTGGAGGAGAAGACTTCCCGGAGACGTGAACGGCGGACTCCGACAACGATTTGTGGACCAGATTTGTTAACCAGTCCACGGCCGATGAGACATCTGACTGTGACTCCTTATGGCAGCGACAAAATCTCGTGACGACGACGACGTGATGGCAGATCCGTTGCCGTTATCTCAAACTAGATCCGTTCTCCATTGTGACTCGTGAATCATATCTCAGCCTGGAGTATGCGCTGCCGTCACAACGACGACCTGAACCAGGTCTGTCACCGCCTTTGTGAACTAGATCCATCTCCGCGAGAACTGTATCCGCCGTAAGGGCTCCGGCGATGCTAACATGGCAATGACGGGAACCGATAGTAATTCTTGGTTTGTTTGACTTCGTGACTTTTGGATCCGAGTGTGATATTTCGGGAGTTTTTAACTGTATTTTTTGAGGATTTTTAAATATAAAAATTTAAAATTTAAAATTTAAAAGGTAAAATAAACGAGACTGATTATAATTTTTATTCTTTTTTATCGTAATTTGATTATCGATGTGAGTTTCGATAGAATTTGAGTTTTGATTTTGATTTTTTGGTATTGAATATCGAATATGATAAATATTATATATATTCAGTAAATATTTTACTGAATTTAAATTTAAATCTTAATAAATATAATATTTATCAGTAAATATTTTATTAAATTTAATTTTTAATCTAATAAATAATGTATATGTTACTGAATAAATTTGAATTTAATAAATACAATATTTATTAATTATTGGAACTGATTGTTGAATTTTTTTAATAAATATGATTAATATAATATTTATTAATTATTTAAATTGGTGATTAAATTTTTAAATAAATATAATAGATACGATATTTATTAATATGTAAATATAATATTTATTACTCACCGTAACGTCAGATTTTTAAATAAATATTATAAATATCAGTATTTATTGTATTTTTTATTTATCGAATTACCCTCTTTTCAGTGTCGTTGGTTTCCCTCCTCGGGTCCAAATCCAAAGCTACGACGTAATACATGCTTGTATTGTATGTTTCCTTTCAGCTAAACATGATTTCTATTTTCTCACTGTGTAGTGAGGGCCAAAATGCCAATTATTTCCGAATAGATTTCACCAAATCAATCCCCAAAACAAGCCTCTAAATCAACCAATGGAGGACGATTCTGGTTCCAGTTCAGAAGACCCTGTGATCGAAACCCTAAGAAGCAGAGGATGGTGCTTGAAGGACTGGGACCAAGTCAAGGCCATCGTCATGATCCACTCCGCCCTCGCTGACGACGGCGCTGCCGCCTCTTCGGTTGTGGATTCCGTCGAATCGGAGCTTTCAAACATGGACCTCAAATCCATCGGAGCCAAGTCCTTACCCGAACCGTCCATTATTCGAAAATCGTCCCATCTTGTTGGCCCCAAAGTCCTGCAGGCACGCATACTTTCTCGCACTTTCTCTCTTTCTCTCTCCTCTTGTTTTGTGTTTGGTTGCCTAGAAAATGCGGGAAAGATTCGTTCATAATTGGTGGTTTTTTGTTTTTTTTTGTTTTTTTTTTTTGTTTTGTATCAGATATCTTCGGTGAGAGACGTCTCCAGAAGTTGTATACAGGATTTGGGGAGAAATTCTGGTGGGCAACGACTTTTGAGACTTGGTCTTACTGATGGGGTTACGGAGATAACTGCTATTGAGTTCTCTCATGTCCCTGCAATTCCTGATGATGTCGTTCCCGGTACTAAGGTATTTAGTTTCAGTTGCTGTGAGCATGCTCAACCTGCTAGTATAATGTTTTTGTTTTCGATTATTTTTCGCCTTTTTTTTTTCCGATGGAACAATCAGAATTCGAAATTCTTAGTAAAATTACAATTGTATTTGCTTAGAGGGTAGGAAAAATAGCAAGAATTCAGAGAATGCTTTGTTGGGAAAGGATAATTTGGCTTGGAAGGAGATGGGGGCTCAAATGTGTTTGGAGTTGTTTTTGTTTTTTACATTTTTCAAGAAAGAAAAAATGAAAACGGGAGAGAAATGGCGTTTGACACAATTAAAGATAAAAAAACGAAAATGAAAACGATTTTTTGGTTTAGTGTAAAATGGGAGAGAAATGAAAACAACTTTTAGTCGTTTTTTATTTTTTGTTTCCGTTTTCTCCTCTCTCGCGTAGAGAGAAAGAGAGAGATATTAATGGATTTTTTTTATACTGAAAACAATCTCTTGATAAAACTACTAAACGCATTTTCAAAAATGATTTTTGTCTGAGATTGAAAACGTTTTTATTTTCATTTTCATACAAAAAACAGAATCATTTTGAAACGAGTTCCAAACGCACTCAAATTTGTTTTATAAAAATGGGGTTTCATGGCTATTTTTGAATTTGAGACTGTTTCATGCCTTTTGACAGAAGAGGGATTTTTGGGAGAAGTAGATTCTGGTTTGCTCTCGTGTCATTGGCTGAATATTTGAATTGTGGGAGCTCGTGAAGCATTATTGAATTCCTCATTAACTGCGGTAGAATAAGGCGAAATCTGCTCGGAATCGTGCTTCCGTTCTGACATCCCTAATAATAAAGCAGACGTAGACCTAGCTGAATTGGATTAGCCGATTAGGGTGTAATACATCTTATGACGGAGTGAAGCGGGTACCCCGCCTTGGATTTTTCGGTCAGCTTTCATGTAAATGAAAAACCAATTGGATGCTTGAAATGAAATGATTGTTTGATGGCCTTGGAACAGGAACATGTTTTTTTTTTGGTTCACTTCACTAATTAGTTTAGAACGTGGACTTTATATTCTTTAATTGTCAATTATGGAGTTGGACCATCTTTTAAGACTAGCAATTTTTTCATAGGGTTGAGATGATTTATATGGCAAGTTTCAGATAATAATTTTTCTCCAAAAGCTTTTGCATATAGCATGTCTGAGGTAATTATCTCGTATTCCAACTGTTTTACTTATGTTGAAGTCCTCTTTTGTCTGTGCATTTCGGTTGGCAGGTCCGTTTAGAAAAAAAAGCCACAATCCGTAGCGGTTTGGTTTGTTTGAATCCTAAGGTAATAACATTGATCGGAGGTGTTGTTTCGTCACTTTACGAAGAATGGCAGATGAATAGAAAATATTCTGGTTTCTCAAGGTCCTCTTTAAGGCTATCCAAAGAAAGTGATGACGCAGGTCCTCCTCCATTTGTTAAGTTGCAAATTGGGGGGTCACACCGTCCATTAGTGCAGAAAGGCAAGTATTATTACTGTTCTGCTCCTATTATTTATTCCGTGATAATTTGACTAGTATATGATGATATGCACGTAATCATAATTTAAGAAAATTCAATTAGGCTGTGAATTCATCTCTTAAAGGTGGTTTCGTAAATCTTGTATTACCACTTAATTTTTTTTAGTATCTTAATCCACTAGAGTAGGTGACAATAATTGTTAATAGTTTTGTACTTCAAAATACCAAATGAGTTGATATCAATGAACTAAGCAAAAGAAAAGAGAGCTCTATGAGTTGGATAAAATAATTGTCAACATGTATGATGGCTTTCTTGTGGAAATATTGTAATGAATGTCTAGATGGACCAGGCAAACGTATGGTTATGAATTTCGCTTTCAGTATCAAATGGTTCACTCATCACTCATGAACAAAAACATGACAATATGTAGATTTTGTGGAAATATTGTAATGAATGTCTAGATGGACCAGGCAAAAGTATGGTTATGAATTTCGCTTTCAGTATCAAATGGGTCACTCATCACTCATGAACAAAAACATGACAATATGTAGATTATGCTGGTTCGAACTCCAAGAATGGTGGGCCTACTGCTGTTAAGATAACTCCTGAGATTAGGCCAACTGAAGGGAAGGATAACCTTCAATGGAAAGCAAGCGGCATCGATAAGAATAAGAAACCAACTTCCCCTACTGAAAGAACTGAAGAGAAACCAAGTAGCTCTGTAGCAAGGCCAGAAGAAGGTGCAACTTCATTTGCGTCTTTTATAATCATTGTAGACTGCATCTTAACTAATGCAATTTTCTTTTTATATCAATGAACTAAGCAAAAGAAAAAGGAGAGCTCCATGAGTTGGATGAAATATGTTGTCAACATGTGTGATACTATCGTTGTGGTAATTTTATAATGAAATGTTCAGATGGACCAGGAAAAACTATGGGTATGATATTCACTTTAAGTATCAAATGCATGCACTCATCACTCATGAACAAAAACATGACAATATGCAGATTATGCTGGTTCGAACTCCAAGAATGGTGGGCCTAAGAGAACTCCTGAGATTAGGCCAACTGTAGGGAAGAATAACCTTCAGTGGAAAGCAACTGGCATCGATAAGAATAAGAAACCAACTTCCCCTACTGAAAGAACTGAAGAGAAACCAAGTAGCTCTGTAGCAAGGCCAAAAGAAGGTGCAACTTCATTTGCGTCTTTTATAATCATTGTATACTGCATCTTAAATAATGCAATTTTCTTTTTATATCAATGAACTAAGCAAAAGAAAAGGAGAGCCCCATGTGTTGGATGAAATATGTTGTCAACATGTGTTATACTATCCATGTGGTAATTTTATAATGAAATGCTCAGATGGACCAGGAAAAACTATGGTTATGATATTCACTTTCAGTATCAAATGGTTCACTCATCACTCATGAACAAAAACATGACAATATGTAGATTATGCTGGTTTGAACTCCAAGAATGGTGGGCTGACTGCTGTTAAGAGAACTCCTGAGATTAGGCCAACTGTAGCAAGGCCAAAAGAAGGTGCAACTTCATTTGCGTCTTTTATAATCATTGTATACTGCATCTTAAATAATGCAATTTTCTTTTTATATCAATGAACTAAGCAAAAGAAAAGGAGAGCTCCATGAGTTGGATGAAATATGTTGTCAACATGTGTGATACTATCCTTGTGGTAATTTTATAATGAAATGTTCAGATGGACCAGGCAAAACTATGGTTATGATATTCACTTTCAGTATCAATTGGTTCACTCATCACTCATGAACAAAAACACGACAATATGTAGATTATGCTGTTTCGAGCTCCAAGAATGGTGGGCCTACTGCTGTTAAGAGAACTCCTGAGATTAGGCCAACTGAAGGGAAGGATAACCTTCAATGGAAAGCAAATGGCATTGATAAGAATAAGAAACCCACTCCCCCTACTGAAAGAACTGAAGAGAAACCAAGTAGCTCTGTAGCAAGGCCAAAAGAAGGTGCAACTTCATTTGCCTTGATTGCAACTTGTGTTTTATAATTATTGTAGACTGCATTTAAAATTATGCAATTTTCATTTGAGTTCTGTCCTTAAGTGTTTGGCGTACAGTGATTTGTTGCTTGTAGGAGATGGTAGCTTTTGTATATCATTTTGACAAGGTGATTAGAAAGTTGGCTGTTTCAAAGCATTGGGGAGGACTCCAAAATTATACTTCTTTTTTTTTTTTTTGATATCCAGAAAATAAATAAATAAGTGCTTGTTTGTTTTATTATTTTACTGCTAGCAAAAAACATTTAACAAATTCTCTTTATGTACTTGTTCTTGTCATATTAATACTCCAAAGTTCTTGCAGTAGCCGAATATGTACCAATTCAAAACCAAGCAGCTTCACAAAAGCTCCTCCAGAAATTGAATAACCAGAACCAGAATGGTGGGAAATATAAAGGTAGAAAATGTGAATGGAAGGAAAAACAAGAAGAGCCATCAACATTAACTCTCGATGAATGGGAAAGAGGAAAAGCCGGTGCAAAGCTTCTTATAGGAAATGAGCATCCGGACATCAGTCGTGACGAGGATCTAGCATGGCAGCTTCAAAACCAATTTGATTTGGAAGACTCTAATGTGAGCATTCTCGCATACTTGAGAATACTATTTATAACCACGAAGATCATTTTTCATTTAATATAATATTGTTTTGTTGCAACTTTATCAGGTACAGAGGGGTCCTTATAATGTGGATGAGGATATAAGAATGAGCATGTTCAACTACAACAGAGACGACGACAGGGTTCGTGGGACGGAGCATGAAGGCGGTAGAAGGGGAAGGGGAAGGGGAAGGGGAAGGGGAAGAGGAAGAGGGCGGGGAAAATGAAGATTTTCTTATCAAATTTTTCTCCCGTTCTTTCTTTTATTCTCATTTTCTCTTGTCGTGTCAGGTAATTTATGTGTAGTGTCGCAATGAAGCTTCAAATTTTGCATTTACAAAATTATGTTTGCACAGTAACGCTTTGTTTTTTCCGCTGGTTAAAATTTCGTGTTCTTCTGTTTCTTTTATATTGACATCTTTACGAGTCTATAGGCTCTTAATCTGCTGGTAGCTCACTTCATAAATCATAAATCATGATTTTCTTTGTTCTCTGTGTTTGGCCCTCAAAGCTCTCATTTGCAATCAAGTTTATTTTAATAGATAACCTGAATATGGTTTGTCAGTACGTGAACACTAAACAGAGTTGCATAAATATTACGCAGGATTGTTGAGACTCATTATATCTCTCTCTCTCTTTTCACGTACTGGATTTAGATGCACGTCAGAGAAATTCATTTGTTTTGTTTCTAGCAAGCAAACATCAAAACATCAAGGATATTCGTTTGTTGCAATTCTTCTTATGCTGGAATCTAACTGAGAGGTAGGTGTTTGACAATTGCTTCAGAACCGAACTTCGACAGTAATTAGGCGATTAGGGTAAAAAGGGATTAAAATTAACTGTCAAAATTTTTCATTATTCCACCAGAAAATCGTAGCTACATTTTTACGTAACATACCATGCAATTTGCTGATGGCTCATGGCTGAAAAGGGTATTAAGGTAATGTTCTAAAACAAGCTTTGCTAATGGGCCAAAACCCAAAAGCTCGAGCCCAATGACGAAGCAAATACGATACATAATGGGCGAACAGAGACAAATAGTCCTTGGTCATAAATTTAAAATTTTAATCTTTATTTTTTATTAATATTATTTTTAGTTAATTAATTATATTAGTTGAAAGGATATTAATAAAAAATAAAGATAAAATTTAGACCCATGACTTAAGCAATTTTCTGTACATAATATGACGCAATCAACCATACATTTGGTGTTAATTATAGCCTCTAAAGTATAGGTATTAGCATGTATGTGAAAATTAGGTTGAAATTTTTATAGAAGTGCTGTATTTGAATTTCAACCCGTATAGCACAGCAGCAGAAATTTTTTATTAAGATGTGGTGCGTCACTTTCATAATGATCTATTCATTAGTTAGTCATTACTCGTTACCTAGTGGCCGAAAATACCTTCTCAGAGTAGTATGTGAGCCACTTTGAGAAATTCATTTTCTTTTTTTCCTTTTTTTTTTTTTTTGAAGAAAAAAAATTCATTTTCAGATCAACCAATTGTATTTAACATAAAGCCACTTTCATTAATAATGGAGTTTTTTAGTAGGCGAGTCAAGTTTCTGACTTTTAAATTAAGGTTGCGTTTGGTAGATGGATCCTGAATCATGATTCTGAATCCTGGTTCATAATCAGTGTTTATTTACAGTGATTTTAAATCATGATTTAGAGTCAATGTTTGGTTTGGATAATTCTGAATCATGATTCAGAATCTAATGTGATGTTTTAAACCAGACTCACTTATGATTCTAAAATCACCCCCTCTTCATTCAAGGTGATTCAAACTTCTGATTCTGAATCTGAATTATAATTCTAGAATCATGATTAGAATTACTCTGATTTAAATCCTTGTACCAAACGAACCTTAAATTAAAATTGAATAGAAAGTTTTTAATACAAATCTAATTATTCAAAATAAAAAATTACTTATAGATAAAATTTTCAGGTCAGAAGGAAGCCTCCTAATAATAATCACACAATTAAGCCACAGTTTTTCCTATCATTTTGCTCTGCTCCACTGCTCTACTACTGTGTCTTACTCTTGCGTGAATTGAGAAGAAACCAGAAAATGGAAAGAACTTTAATGCAACCCTTAATCGCCGTCCTAATCTCATCGTTAATCGCCATTAGAGCTTATCGGAGAAAATCTCTCGACCTCTCCGGCGCAATCTCCGGCTTTATCGTCATGTCCATCCATATCGCCGTCGGATACAGGTTCTCTTCTCTTCATGCTCAGTAGCTGATTTTATTTTTCTTTGATTAATTTTCTGTTTGGTTGGCGAGAAAATAAATGAATCGGCTGAGAAAATCCGATTCTGTTTTGGTGCAATTTGAAGTTAACCCAATGTTTTTGGATTAAGTGAAGATACGGAGCATTGATACTCGTGTTCTTCTTCACTTCGTCGAAGCTGACAAAGGTTGGGGAAGAGAAAAAGCGTCGCGTTGACGCCGATTTCAAGGAAGGTGGACAAAGAAATTGGTAAATTTTTAATTTTTCAACCATGTTGTACTAAGTAAAGAGATTTATTTGATTTGATTTGTTGTTGATATGAAAATCTTCCGATTTTGTTGTTTTTTTTATTAATTTTTTTAAGGGTACAAGTTCTTTCGAATAGTGGCATTGCAACGATTTTTGTGTTGATTATATGGAGATTAACGGAATGGGAAGAAAAGTGCCTGGATTCGAAGAATTCGGTTCTGATTACGGCGCTGATTGGTGGGGTTATCGGTCACTATGCGTGTTGCAATGGAGATACCTGGTCTTCTGAGCTTGGGGTGCTTAGTGATGCTCAACCTCGATTGATCACAACCTTTAAGGTCCAATCATTTGTTTCCCTTAGTTACTTTTCTTGAACTCACTTTGCCCCACATTCTGTTTATTAGTGAACTGCTAATCTTTTATTGTCAAATAATGTATCTTGTATTGTATTTTTTTTGAACTTTTTTTTTTTGTTTGAACTTGGTGGGCCGGGTGGAGTCAGGTGTGGATTTCACTTTAGGCTTATGCCTGCAGTCATGATAGAGCACGTATGTTGGATAAGCAATCGTATATCTTAGGCAACCATTGCTCGATTCTAAGCAATCGTATATCTTAGGCAACCATTGCTCGATTCTAAGCAATCGTATATCTTAGGCAACCATTGCTCGATTCTAAGCAATCGTATATCTTAGGCAACCATTGCTCGATTCTAAGCAATCGTATATCTTAGCCAACCATTGCTCGATTCTTACCAATCATTAGAGCTTAGATCCTATGTTAGTCAACTTTTGTATCTGATGCCATTGTTTGCTATTGATGATTACCACTTTTTAAAATGACGTAGATGTGAACTACGGGCTCTAGAGATCATTACACAGGGACTCACATTGTATTACATGCAATATCTGACTCGTTAAAAAACCGGCATTAAGGAAATTGATGTCTACCATTTTCTTAGTAGCTCCCTTGGCAAGGAACTATATGTAGTTTTGTGCTTCTTTCTCTTGATGGCTAGTTGGTTTTGGTGCCCAAGTGCTTCTTTGTCTCTCCTTTAGGCTTTGTCGTTCCCCATTACATTTCTGCTTGGAGTCACTTCTGGTTTCTAACATGTATAGCTTCTTTTAACTTTGTAATGGAAGATCATCAAGGACTGTAGCTCTGGCTACCATTTGCACCTGAATTTAGCCTATACGTTCTTACAAATTGAGGACTGTAGTTGAATTATTAACCTTGCATAACACTTGTGAGAGTAATCTCAGTAAATATGTATTATATAATAAAGAAGAAGAATGAAAATGACAACAGAAAGTTCAAGAAGACTAAACGTAGCGTATTGCTTAAAGGATTCATACAGACTAGTAAAAGTGTTCCACGTGGAAGTTCCTTCAAGTCGGTGTTGAGCTAAATTCATTCTCAACAAATATATATGTAAAACAGAATTAGTTGTAGTCATTTTTTATTAGTCGGTGAGGAACAGAGACACTTTTGTATTTAGAGGTTGAAACAGAATTTCTAGTGAGAGAAACCAGTACAGAGAGAGAGAGAGAGAATCTGTTCTGTGAGTGTTTGGGGTGTGAGAAAATAGAAGAAATTAGGATTTCTTCTGGGTATTTTTTCTCTAGAAACACTTTGTTTTCTCTTGGGTTGGTTTCTGGGTTTGTGTCTCTAATTCCTCAGTTGAGAGTTTCTATGTAACAACTGAGGGTGTAATCTTCTTCTTTATAGTGGATTGTGTTTCTTGTGGAGGAGCTCAGCAGGAGTAGGTCAATTTTTGGCCGAATCTGGGTAACTTTGGCGTGTTCTTACTTTTCCCTTTCTTGATTTATTCAGATTCATCTCATTCTGATTGTGTTGGTCTCGTTCCAATAGTGGTATCAGAGCCGACGGTTAACTACCGATCATTGAAGGTCTAGAGGGTCTGCCTTTTGAGGGAAATTCGAAAAAATTCAAGGAATCTTGAAGAAATCTTGAAGAATGGGAACTGCAAAGTTTGAGCTCGAGAAATTTGATGGATTTGGTGATTTTGGTCTATGGAGAAAGAAGCTTCGGGCAATCTTGGTGCAGCAGAAAGTGGCAAAATCCCTAGGAGACATGACAGATTTTAAGGGCACTGAGGAAGAGAAGGACGAGATGCTAGAAATAGCCTACTCTACCATCATTCTTTATCTTGCAGACAACGTGTTAAGGCAAGTCAACGATGAAGACACTGCAGCAAAGGTTTGGCTTAAACTTGAACAACTCTATATGACAAAGTCTCTGACTAATAAGATCTACCTCAAAGAAAGCTTGTTCAGTTTCAGAATGGACACCTCTAGGAGCCTAGAAAAGAACCTTGATACGTTTAATAAGATTGTTATAGACTTAGCTAATATTGGTGAAAAAATTGAAGAGGAAAACCAAGCAGTGATTCTCTTGATTTCCTTACGTGAGTCCTTTAGGGAGGTTAAAAATGCTATCAAATATGGGAGAGATCGTCTTACTCTTGAAAATGTACTGTTTGCCTTAAGGTCTAGAGAATTGGAAATCAAGAATGAAATGTCTCAAAGAAAAGACGCAAATGGAGATGAAGGGCTGTTCACTAGAGGTAGACCGCCCAAGAAAGAATTTGGTGGGAAGAACAAGAATAGGCCACCCTTGAGGTCAAAGTCAAGGAATGGGCCAAGAAAGTGTTTCTTCTGTAAAAAAAAACATGGCACATAAAGAGATTCTGCAAGGAATGGGAGAAGCAATTGGCTGAACAGAAGTCTACTGAAAGAGATGCTGCAATCGTAACTCAAGATGATGTTTATGAGAGCCCAGAGATGCTTGTCTTTGGGACCTCTAAAGAAGAGTCAGAGTGGATTCTAGACACTGGGTGCACATATCACATGTGGCTAAATAAATCCTGATTCTCGAACTATGAAAGGAAAGATGGGGGTAAAGTCTTGATGGGAAACAATCATGCTTGTACAGTGATTGGATCTGGAAACATCACTGTCAAGATGAGTAATGGGACTTATCACACTTTCAAGAATGTCAGGCATGTTCCTAAACTTAGAAGAAATCTAGTTTCTCTGGGAGCCTTAGATGATGCAGGTTATGGTTACAAAGCTGAAGGTGGAGCATTAAAGATCTTAAAGGAGTCTTTAGTGGTGATGAAAGGTGAAAGGAAAGGAGGTCTTTATGTCCTGGAGAGTCAAACTGTTATTGGTACAGTAGCAACAATAATCAGTGAGAAGTCTAGGGCTGAAATCGGGCATAGAAGGCTTGGGCATGTGAGTGAGGGAGGTCTCCAGGAACTCAACAAGCAAGGACTACTTGGAGACGACAAAATTAATCATTTGGACTTCTGTGAACAGTGTGTTTTAAGGAAGCAACACAGGTTGAAATTCATTACATTAACTTACAGAGCAAAGAGACCACTGTGATACGAACTACGCCAACAACGTGACGAAACCCGAAACCAAATATGAAATTACGATTCAAGATCTATCAAGAATTGATGGAAACCGCGACTCGTTGCTTAGCAAAGCAAGAACCTTGATATGGTGAATACGCCACAAATGAGTATGGAAATCCGTTTGATAAGTCAAGTTTGAACGCCACAAGGAAACCTTGATAAGTTCGGAATAGTTTCTTCAAGAACTCAAGAAGAATATCTCACAATATGAATAAACATCAAAACTTCACTTTATTAATCGAATTTCAGCCTTAAATAGCCGAAAATAACATGAAGAGTTTTAAAATTGTAAAAGTCTTAATCTACCCTTAATGAGATATATGCGCTTAAAACTAGCTAACACACTTAAAGATAAGATAACACGCCTAAAGCTAATCTTAGGAAGGAATCTGAATTTGACTCCAACTCATTCCTTCTAAACATGCCTATTTTGGAATTTTAATGATAAACTGAAATTTAAATCTAAAAAGATAGGATTAGGACGAAATCAAGTCTTGATCCGCAATCTAGACTTGATTCCTGACTGGAAAACACGCCTACAGCCTCTTGGACTCCTCCTTGCACGTGTATCTTGGAATGACATGCAAGTCTTGTTGTAGGACGTGTATGGCCGATTCTTTCTCTTCTTGTTGTAGGACTCTTCGGACTAGGTTATTTAACTCTTTTTTAAATCTTTTAGCTCGATATCTCGTCACCGGACCAACTAGGACTTGAATTGGATCGTGAGTATTTCTTGCATCCCTGATTCCCCTCCTCTTGAAAAGGATTTGTCCTCAAATTATCACCTACATCAAAAGGACTCAAGGCAGTAACATTGAAAGTAGCACTCACATTGTCTTGTTCTCTCAGACTCTTTTGTTTACTCAATTTTTGCAACCTCACTTGGTCCTTATAGACTTGTTTTGGGGTCAACGAAACTAGAGTGATAGTCCGTTTGTTGTGTGTGAATGAGTACTTGTTGGTAAAGCCATCGTGCCGCACACGCCGTTTAAATTGCCATGGTCTTCCGAGGAGATGCCCGCTTGCATTGGTACTACGTCGCACAATACTTCATCCTCATACTTACCGATTTGAAACGGTACTACAACCTGCTTTATAACTATCACTTCACCGCTGTTATTCAACTATTGTAGCTTGTAGGGACAAGGGTATTTAAGTGTTGTGAGTCTTAGTTTTTCAACCATAGAAGTACTAGCAACATTAGTGCAACTACTGCCATCGATAATAACACTACATACATTGTCTTTCACGTGGCAACGAGTGTGAAAGATGTTCTCCTGTTGTACCTCTTCTTCCTCTTCTTTAGCTTGCATGTTTAAGGCTCGACGTGCAACTAGCCCAAGCATTTCACCATGGTCTGCCCCGATCTCCTCTTCTCCTATGAGGGCGTCCTCCAATGGTGGCATATCCTCTAGATCATCTTCATCTTCCGAATCAATTTCTCCATTATCCCGGATCATCTTAAGTCGCTTATTTAGACATTGGCTAGCTATGTATCCTCTTCCCTGACATTTAAAACATTTAATCTCGCTAGAACGAGTAGAATTAGGGGCTGTTTTACCTTGAAAGGCCGTGGTATTAGGGGTGGGTTCGTACTCGGGTTTGGCCTTGAAGGTTGACAGGTTTTCTTCTTTCTTTGGGTAGTTTGGCCCCCAAGGTGTTGCACTCGGATTTTGAGGAGTTGGTCTTGGTTGTGTTCCACTCCTCTTGAGTTGCCTCTCAACCTTGATTGCCATATGCACAAAGTCCTCCAATTCCACATAATGGTGTATCTTGATTGTGTTGGCAATTTCTCGGTTTAACTCATTCAAAAATCTGGCCATCGCTGCCTCCCGATTCTCCTCCACATTGGCTCTAATCATTGCTATCTCCATCTCTTTAAAATACTCATCAACACTC